CTCAATTATAAACTTTAACTACCATTTACAGACTTCCACTTGTCAAGACTGTCATCTGTAACAACTGCTGTCAGAAAACTCATACACGTATGTGCATATGTGCACAACAGGAGGAATCTTGATGGTATGTATAGCACTCTCACATATATAATCTATTTGATCCTCCATGATCTCCAGGGATTGCTCCCTAATGTGGACCCCAAGTCTAGACAATTACTATTAGGGAGGGAGACTTCAAAGGTGGGTTGGGGAGGACTTGGGCCACTGCAGATTCTGTTGCACAGGGAGGGGAAGCCCTCAACCTTGTCTCTCAGTCTGCCAGCTCCTCCCCTCTACTCAGTGGGCTAGAACCAGGCTGCACTGTATCAAAAGAACAATACAGATACCCCTTGCCAGAAGAGGTGGAAATCCAAGTCATACCTTTGTTACTTCCATGGCAACCCCCTCAGGTAAGTTTCGCTGAATATATTCCAAGTAAACATCTGCCGTACTTCCAGTTAGGTGTTCTAACTAAAATATCAAACATGAAAATGGTTCATGCTATGCTGTTAATGCAGAAATTAAGGCTTTTGGAGGGGAGAGGTAAAACTGGTGAAGCCTGTTCTTCCCCTAAGAAATCTAATAAAAGGGCCGGTCCATGGCTCACTTGGGAGAGTGTGGTGCTGACACCACCAAGTCAAGGGTTAAGATCCCCTTACCAGTCATCTTTAAAAAAAAAAGAAAAGAAAAAAGAACTCTAACACAGACTCCCAACTAAAAAAAAAAAAAAAAAAAGTGTAGATCTCTGTTTGTACTGGATGGGGGCAGGCATAACCTTGAAGCCCCCTTCCTCCCAAATGCAGCTTCCTCAAAGCCAGGGCTCCACAGAACACAGCTGGCAAGCACGGTATCAAAGCAGTATACTTATTACAAGTTTCACAAAACAACTGAAGACAAAAGGAAACAACAGACTAGACTATAATATACAGTTAGTATAAGATTTTCTGTGTACTCCACAGGAAGATGTTTTGTCAGACATGGGTGGATACAATTTGGGGTTTTTCTTTTTCATTTAAGAGTAGGGACTAGGTCTTCATTATATTTGTACCCTCAATGCCTAGTACAGTGCTTCCCAGATAGAAGACACACAAGTGCTCGTTTTAATAACATTTACCAATCATTTACTGTGCGATCAAGTATTCTAAGTACTTTACGTAAATATCCCATTTAATCTTTACACTAACCTTATGAGATGGGTACCATTATTATTCCCATTTTATACATGATGAAATTGGGGTACAGGTTACACAGCTAGTAAGTCCCAGGACTTGGACTAGGGCACTGGCATTGGCAGTCTGACTCCAGAACTCAGGCTCTCCTTAATCACAAGACTATGCTGGACCGAGTCCATGCATGAATGAATGACAACAGACAAATGAAAAACCTAATGTTACACATCATCGCATTCACCAGTTGGCATGTGAAAAGAATTATTAGAACTGTGTACAAACTATAATTTTTGAAATATGAGCAAAATGCTATCTTACTGTATAAAAACTAGTTAGCATAATCTGGATTCCTGGGTTAAAAAAAGCACTACACTAAAGGACAGCTTTATTTGAGCTTGAATTTCCAATCACGTAGCTTCCATAAACATAAAAAAGACATTTACTTCTCTACAACTAACAGGCATGGGCTGGTGAAAGGAAGTCAGCCTACTTTACATTAAAGGAAAGTTAAGATATGCTGGTGTGAAATTTTGGGTATTTTAAAAATGCCTGACTTTCTGAAATAAACTCACCTCTAAACATCTGTAAAGTGTTCTCATTTCATACTGAACTCTGTGCTTCTTGAAAATATGCACTGATTTGAGAAGAGTAAATCGTTCTATTTTCCTTGGAGGTTCGTGTCTGAAATTAATGGGCAAAACAATATACTTAAGCCAAATGATATTAAAACCTGAGTCACTGATATCAAAGCCTGACTCCAAAATTTTGTAGGTCAGGCTCATACTCAATTATAAACTTTAACTACCATTTACAGACTTCCACTTGTCAAGACTGTCATCTGTAACAACTGCTGTCAGAAAACTCATACACGTATGTGCATATGTGCACAACCCCCACCTCCTGCTGCTTTTATATCCTTTGAGTCCCTTATTGATCAAATGTAAGAATTGTGCTGTTCTTCACAATTCAGTTGCAAAGAGGCCCACAGTTGTAATGTCTGCTATATGTGTGAGGTTTTAGGAAAATCTACAGATACACTGATAATCACAAAAGTATAGTCTGTTTTGGGAAACAATGTGGCCTTCTGTTTTTGTTAGAAAGCCAGACTGGCAAAAAGCCCCAAATGGGCCTTGTTCAACATCAGAAGGATCAGGTAGCAAAACAAAGGAGGCAGTTCTACTTGGCACTGCAGTAACTCCAAGGCCACTTGAAGCTTGACTTTCTCATGCATGAAATTACTGGGTTAGTGGTGTTTCTTGGGGCAAATTTGAGACAATGGATACATTAGCCAGAGATCATCGTATCCAAAAGGTCTAAAAGGATTATTTGTTCACCTATTCTACCTTCCTACCCCATGGAGATTCCGGACATGCAGGCTTCTTTTTTTGGGAGTGGGGGGGCGTGGCTGGCCAGTACGGGAAACCTTGACCTTGGCGTTATAACACCACAATCTAATCAACTGAGCTAACTGGCCAGCCCATGTGGGCTTCTTCAGTCTCCTTATGTCAATGCAATTTCTAGAGAAAGGCTATTTTTCATTTTTCCTTGTTCACTCATTCTAGTATTTAAAAACTCTAGTAGACAGGAAGGGATGATCCTGCTTAGGATAATGTATAACAAACCTAAATTCTATCCATCACGAGTTTCTACCCCATTTTAAGAGCTCAGACCTACCTGGGATTAGCACCCTTTTCCTAGTTGATCATATTACAGCAGCTAACAGGTCAGGTTAGGAAAAGTCATACTTACACTTTAATAGAAATACCAAGTTCTTTAGCAGCAAGCACAGCAAAATATTCATAACTGTCCAATACAGCCTTATCATGGCCTTTTACTAAAACTGACAGGCGCTTATATAATGTGTCTGGTTCATCAGAAATGGTTACCTAAAATAAAAAAGAAAAGTTTCAGTTGTGGTTCGCCTAACAGTTATAAGCAAATCGAACAACTTGAGTGTTTACTAATAAATGGGGAGAAAAATCCTGATTAACATCTTAACACGGTTAGCTTAAGTACCTAGATTCTATCACATTCAGTTCTGCACAATGACCTACAGAATCTGTTAAAATACAGTATGAATCAAAAGGTCTTTCAAGATAACCTATAAAATCACTAATGGAACTTTCCAACTTAATAATTATTGAGCTCCAAATTCACAATGAGAAAGGACTTCAGGGTCTGTTAACAAAATAGCCTGGGCAGAATACCTGGATTACGAATTAAACTCTGCTACTTGTAGCTGAAGGACAATGGGCAAGTCATATAATCTCACTATACTTTAGTTTTCTCATACATAAAATAAGATAATACTACCTGTGCTATAGCTCACAGCATTTGTTAGAAAAAAATAAAACATAAAATTGTAAAACATTGCTATACAAAGGCTATTTCTCTTCATATTTTTTATTAGGTTTTATTCATGTATGTTTTGCCTGCCCTAATATACAAATTACTCATTTCTAATTAAAATGTTATAATACTGACTATACCTATAACTTCTACCTCTTCCACCCCAATACCTAAAGACTTTAGAAATAATGGGTTTGACATTTCTGACTTTGTTCCAAGAGGTGAATTACCTTCACTTCATTCATCCATTAAACCAGTAAATTATACTACTAATCCAATGATTCAGGGTTAAATTACTTCCCCTGAAAGGAGATTTATTTAATAACCAGGAAACTAGACATCCACTCTGGAAGAACAGAATATACTAATATTCTATATCATAAGTTGGGAGATGACAAAGGGAGAATATAGCCATAAGATGTGTTCTGACTGATCCTTATAGAGTTTTAAAGACATTTTGAATTTGTTATAAATATTAAAAATCAGGAGATTTCATATAAAAATTTGAATTTCAGTTTAGTTTATACGATTTAGATGATCTGGCATCACTAGATCTGATTTCCCACATGGCAATGAGTGGCTAGAGTAAGTAGTAGCTGTCTTGCTTATAAGGGGCACAGTGTACCAGTATGCTCACCCCACCACATTTCCATACAGGCCCGGCCACTGCAGGCATTTGAGTTGGAGACCAGGTTTATATGTACCATCAGGGAAATATATCTAGTACCTATTAAGTGGCGGGGGGAGGAAAAAAAAGGAACAGCAATGCACTATGCATAACACAATTCCATTTTGGTGTGCATGTACATAGACAAAATGATTACATACAGACAAATGTCTAGAAGGATTCACACCAAAATGTTAAAGGGGGTTATTTTTGAGGGGTGGAAATGAAAGAATTTGGAATTTGGAAGCATTTTTTAAAATTAAAAATAATACAAAAAAATGGGCTGATGGAATCATGGTTTCTACAAGGTTACATAGCTACTTCTGGATTCCCATGACTTGTGCTAATGCTTTTTCTCACTGTGAACAATAAAGCATTGTCCAGGTCTAGGCTCAATACTTAAAATAAAAACAAAGATTTGAAGGCTACAAGAGAATTATTGTTCCATAACATGACATCAAGTATTCTGCACCATTAACGATGACAACTCTTTAATTATGCTGAGAAAGAGACTGCTCATTACCACAGTTATTTGGGGTAAATAATTTATTCCTTTAGAACTTACCCTGATACTCTGAAAGATAACATGAGCACCCAGGGACATTAGAGAATATGCACATTGTGCATTTGCCAGTATTCCAGAACAAAATATTTTTATTTATGAAGTGCTTGGGAAACAACCCCAAATGAATTATTAAGGAAACTTTATAGCTAATATAGCTCCTTATACCAAGAAATACAGAATACATACCATAGGTTTGGTCAAATCCTTAGGCACATCAACATGTAGATTTGAAAACTGTACCCATTTCATGTTGGTACTGCTATGGGTGGGGAAAAAGAGAAACCTAAGAAAAACAGCGCAAAAGCCCATTTTCTTGTTCAATTTAGCACATCCAATTGTATACTTACAGAAGAAAGCCATCATTTTTGGCTGTACTGCTCTCAAAACTGTTCACAGAAAAATTTCTCATGCCCTTAAAATAACAAGGGGAGGGAGGCATATATTAGAATTAAAATCGATTCCCAAACCATTTGAAGTTTCCAAAATAAAAATCAAAAAACGTATGATGCTTCAAATAAAGGGATATCTCATTATTTCAGATGAAGATATCGAGGTAACTAAAATGGCCAAATTAGAATTAAAAAAAAAAAAAAGAGGACAGTGGTGGAGTTGATAATCAAAAAACACTGTCAAAATACTAAAGAATCTCTATCTTTTAAAGCTCAGGAGCAAGAACTTTTTATTTTTATTTTTGGTAGCTGGCAGTTACAGGGATCAAACCCTAGACCTTGGTGATATCAGCACCACGCTCTCACCAACTGACCTAACTGGCCAGCAAGAACTTTATTTAGAAAAGCAATTCTCATGTTAAAAAACAGCTATGGGGCTGGCCCGGTGGCGCACTGCTGTAGTGCGCCGCTTGGGAAGTGCGGCAGCGCTCCCGCCGAGGGTTCGGATCCCACATACAGACCAGTTCCCGCTCACTGGCTGAGCGAGGCATGGGAGCAACGCCGAGGGTTGCGATCCCGTTGCTGGTCCCGGTCCAGTGCGGGGGCGATACTGAGGGTTGCGATCCGTTGCCGGACCCGAAAAAAAAAAAAAAAAAAAAAAAAAAAAAAACCCAGCTATGAATTAAACATGTAGATATTGAGGAAAAAAAATACACATGACTTCATTTTTCCATTATTTTTTACAGATTAATTGTACTTCAATATAATGCTTATTTTGCCTGAATGTTTTTTAATAAAAACTATTGTGGCTTTATTTATTTAGAGTTGGAATAAGAATTCTAAAGTGCCCTTCTTTTGAAGCTTACATACATCTTTTCAAAAATATATTTCTTGGCTTGGCTGGGATAACTAGCATATAAATAAATTAAAATACACGCTGGAACTTATAGCCATCATTAACTACTGTGCCACATACTTAATACTCCAGCCTTTCCAAATCCTTTATTGTCAGCTCCCCCTGGTGGAACAAAACTTTCTAATTTTAGGAAACTAAAATGTTACTACATAATACGGAGTTTGTCAGCCCTGTTTTTCCTTTAACCTTTCCTGAGATTTAAAAGTAGAACCTAAGAAAGTAGAAGCACAAAAGAATCCTTACAAATTCAATGAAGATGAAAATAACAGTTTAGCACAGTGAAATTTAGCACGATTTAATTTAGCAGAGTTTAATTAAAACAACTGATGGTCACCTAAATACACTTTAAAAGCCTATTCTTAGTTTATTGTTCTTCCTCTCTTTACCCAAGATGGAGACAAATCAAAATTTTCCACATTCTTCCTTGAATCAAGGGGGAAAAACAAAGAAGAAAGAAAATTAGGCACCGTATGAGGTAGCAAGAGTATATGCCATTCTTCACACATAATCACATAAAAAATTCCCTCTCCACATTTATGCCAGTAACCCCACAATCCAGCTGTGCAAAAGGAGCATAGGTCTAAGAAATATGACACTTTCCAGTCATGTTCTACCACTATAAACCTCTGCTTCTAAAAGAAAGAAATAATAATAAGTTGAACTTTAAGAAGGAGAGAGCAAAACTGTGGTTACTGAGGCGGGAAAAGGGAAGGGGGAAAGGGGACAGTGAGAGGTTGGTTAATGGACACACAACAACCAGGTAGGAAAAATAAGCTCTATGGATGTACGGTTGAGCCAAGAATCTATAATTAACAAGAATTCACTGCATATTATCAAACGGCTAGAAGAAAAGAGATCAAATACCTTTATCTCAAAGAAATAATTAAGTTTTGAAATGATGAGGATGCTAATTACCCTGATATGATCATCACATGCTGTATACACGCATTGATATTCAACTCTGTACCCCACAAATATGTATAATCAATACGTTTCAATAAAAAAAAGCCCTCTGCTTCTAAAAGTTGGAGCCTAAAATGTTGTTACATCCACAAATCAACCTTAAGAAGTTCTTAAATTTTCCTTTTTGAGGGTGTGTGTTAGGTGGTGGTGGATAGGGTTGTCTGGATAAGTTTGCCTTAGTACTGTAGTTCAAAAATTTCAACCTCTTAACACCATCTGATTTTTCTTAAGAACAGTGGTTCTCACAAGTGTGGTCTGAGGACTTCTGATGAGTCTCCAAGACTTTCAGGGGATCCAGGAAATCAAAACTAGTATTTTCATAACAATACTAACACGTATTTGCAACTTTTCCACTCTCATTCTCTCACCAGTGTACAATGAAGTTTTCCCAAGGCTGCAGGAGGTGAATATATAGTGAATTTATTAGTGTTAACTTTTAAATGAATTAGCACTTTTAAGATTTTCAGTTTTATTTTCTAAAAAACTAAGTATAGATAACTGACACCCCCCCCCCCCCCCCCCCCCCCCCCCCCC